TGGCGCCGTAGAAGACACATGTGATGTGGTTCGTCGACCACATCCGCCTCATACCGCCCCTGTCCTGGGTCTGGGTGGAGACGGGTATGAAATACCTCGGCCTTCACCTGGACAGCCCCTGGAGTTTTGAGCCCCACTTCCGGCCCCTTGGTCCCCTGGTTGGAGCGAGCGGCGACTGCCATTTGCCACCTGCTGCCTAACCTGGGGGGCCTAGACGAGAAGGGGTCCGCCGGCTATACGTGGGCATCGTGCGGTCGATGGCCCTCTACGGGGCCCCGATCTGCCAGTAGGCGCAGCAAGGAGGCGCTTGACCGCATCCAGCGCTTGCTGGCTATCAGGGTCATACCGGGGATACCGCACGGTGTCCCGCGTGTTGGCGAACGCCTTGGCGGGTTTACCACCATTCGAGCTCGTGGTGGTAGGTAAGGCTTACTTGTATAGGTCATTCCGCCGGGACAGCTCGGACCCGCCAGGGTTACCGGCAGTGGAGGATCTCAGGCTCCGGGCCTGGCGATGGGTGTTGCGCAAGTGGAAGGCGGAACTCTCCGCCCACTCTGCACACCCCGTCGTCGCACAGTGTTTCGTGTATATGGGCGTTCGGGACAAAACTCGTAACTTCTAAACTAATCAATTTTCGACCTAAGTTCTCTCATATTTTTTTGAAGAGAATTCACATATGCATTAATTGGCACATAAAAAAAATATATGATTCTATTTAAAAAATATATAGCGATCTATATTTTTTATCGAATAAAAACTTTTTTGTAAATTTTCATTAACGCAATTTATTACCAACTGATTACTGATTAATATTTATTTGAACAAATTTTTCATCAATTTCGCGGAAATACCTGAAAAATCGTAAGGATCGTTTCGCATATACACTCCCATCCATAAGTCACCGGACACTTACTCGCTTTGAGTAAAATAGTTATTAAAACATGGATACGATCTTCTGGCTTCATTTTATTGTTGGTTTTGTAATATGTAGCTATTTTACGATAATTTCGGTATGTAAAATTAGAAATAAGTATTTGTTATTATATATAAACTTTTAAAAAAGGAACTGCATGCGTAAACATGTATTTCGTAATGTTTCCATTCGGTACGTTTCGGGACATATTGTTCCCTTGGGATGTTCAGGACTATCAGAGGAATATATCTTGAACATTTTGGAGAGTTTATAAACACTTTAAGTGGAGTTCTAGACTAAACAGAGATCAGCATGGAGCTGGGAAGGTGGAGTCGCTGGTTCTTCCTTATTTCAAGTTGGACAGTGCATGTGATCAGTATGAGTAGTTCTAGAAAAGAGTTATCCATTCAAAAGCGTTCGAGTATTATTACTCTTGCTAAAGAAGGCTATTCCATGCGGCAAATTGCGACAAAAACTAAAATTCCGAAATCGACAGTGCATGATACAATGAAAAAGTTAACGGATACTGATACTTTTGAATATAAAAAACGAACTGGGCGGCCCAAAAAAAGAACAGAACATGAAGACCGCTATATACAAACAATTAGTAAACGAAACAGGAGGATGACAGCAACAGAAATTGCGGCAGAAGTTAACAAAGATCGAGAGGATCCGATTGGTACGACGACAGTTAAGCGACGCCTTTTGCAAGCAGGACTCCGCGGCTGTGTTGCAGTTAAAAAACCGCTTTTAAAGACCCAAAACAAGAAAAAAAGACTGCAGTGGGCAAAATTATATAAAGATTATACTGCTGAAGATTGAGAAAAGGTGTTGTGGACTGATGAGTCGAAATTTGAGGTGTTCGGAACAAAACGACGAGTTTATGTGCGCAGAAAACAAACTGAAAAATTGATTCCCGATTGCATTGTTCCAACTGTCAAGCATGGGGGTCAGTCTATAATGGTATGGGGTTGTTTTGGTGCAAATAAAACTGGTGATTTAGTGCAAATTGAGGGAATTTTAAAAAAAGAACAGTATTTGCAAATTCTACGTGACCATGCAGTACCGTCTGGTAGACGCCTAATAGGACAAAATTTCATATTTATGCAGGACAATGATCCCAAACACACCGCAAAAGTCTGTACAAGTTATTTAAAAGACCTGGAAAATAATAACGAATTGAAAATTATGGTATGGCCTCCGCAATCACCCGATCTCAATCCAATAGAGAAATTATGGGAAGAAATAGACAGAAACGTGCGAAAAGTGTCAAAAACCATTTCTCTAAGCCTTATAAAAACAGCAGTGCAAAGTGAAAGTTTTTTGACAGCTATCGAGAACCGAGAAGTCACGCGTACGCATTTGTTCGCTCGCGCGGGTGCATCTCTGTTCGGCCGTCCCTGAGCGCGGGCTCTACGCGCGCTGTAATTGGCCAGTGTTTTTCGTTAATAATTCAAAAACGAAGCTTCAAACTGGATTTTGGAAAAGGAAAAGGTTGTTCAGAGTCACCTCAGCTACCCCCCATTTCCGGGTGTTCGAGGAGTTACGGGACACCCTGTATAGTACTTAAACATAAAAAATAGTATAACAATAAAAACATTAATAACAAAATTAAATAACAGTTTATATAATAAGAAAATTGATAACAAAATTAAACGTGATTCCACGCCAAATGGAATACTTAGATGTCGACATCAAGGATTTTGATTCAAACGAAATATAATGTAATACACGTGAAATTAGATGGGGTTTAAAACATCTTTTAGCTGGTTTCGAATTTGTTCAAAAAACGATGGAGGATTGTCCGTATATTGTTTAAAGAAGGACAAAAGACGAATGTTTAGACTAACATAAATGTCTTCTCGTTTCACGGGACGCACGAGTGAGGTTTAGAGGCTAGGTTAAGGGCCCGAGTGGTGAACGCGAACAACGATTTTAATTTTTTTTTCTGTTTCGGGTAAATGTGGGCAGCTGAAATTCAAGTTAATATAAAGTTTAATGTTCCCTAAATTAATACAAAACAAATTACAGAAGTACTTTTTAGTATATTTTTTAAAAGTCTCATCAAAGTTTATAAACATTCTACACAAAAAATAGTACAAATATTAGTACTATGAAAAGAATTGCTCCGCAGTTTTGAAGGTATGATAGTACTAAACAGAATTTATAAAAATCAAATTTAAAGGATAAACATTCCGCCAATGACACGTGTTTGAAAAAATAATGAGAAATTTGGAATAAATTTCTGGTATCATTTTTGACTTCAGTATGGTAAATTAAGCAAACGTCATGGGTAATATTAAAACTTCCGTTCTTTTATTAACATTTTAAGATACAAAAGATTGCGAATCAAACACTTCGGATTTTTTCTTTTTAGCTGGTACTTTTGTCCATTGCACGGAACACTGTACGTCGGGGCAATCCTGCCCATTTTTGATAAATAGATGGATCGCGGACATGGCAGGGCCACCTTTCGGCTCACGTAGGTACTTTACCGGGAACGGGTGCTTTGGTGGGTACCTACACGGACGACTGGGCCACGAAGCCACGGGGGCCTGTCACCATTGTGGTGAAGAGTTGGACTCGGCGGTACCTGTCCGGTCTGGGAGGTGGGCCAGGACCTCTGCGTCCTCGCCGTCCTTAAACGGATTGCAGAGTCGGGGGAGGCCTGGCACGCCATGGTCGCCTATTGTGAGGCGGTCATGCGGCGAAAGGAGGGAGAAAGAAGGGAGCGGGA